TAGCATGGGGATTTACTTATGTCTCTCTACTGGGTAGACCGAGGCTTTGAAGGCAGGGTGTGTCTTGTTCATTTGTTTCTAGCATCTAGCACAGTAAGCCCCACACATTAAATTTACAAATGGAACAGGTGTTTTTTTCAGGTACAGGCTCTTTGAAGTTCATTTTTTCTCATTATACTTTTTTATACCTTTCCAATATACTAAATGGAGTCTCCACAAAATAAAGAACTTTCTAAATTCACCTTTCAGTTCTAAGTGAATAAAGAAAAGCTATCCTCAAGACTTTTATGAACTATCCAATCCATATGGTCAGCGGGACAACTTTTCTGTTATTCAGCACGTTGCTTTAAAACTCCTACAACTTCAGTGAGAACTTTCACTGTAATACTAGCAACAACAAAGACTGATTAGTGAAGCTGGATGATTCCATTGCTTCTGCTTGTCTTTCACATTCTTGGAATGGAAGCTGAGTTGACAAGAGAAGACATAGCTAAGGAGTAACTTACTATTTGTCTTCAAGTCTAACATGATCTCAACAGCTATCCCCCTCTATTTTTCAAGAAGTAAAGGGAAAGAAATTTAAAGCCTCACAAAAAGGAACTTGTAGCCCATCATAAGGAAGAGAAAATCAAGGTTAGCATTATGTTTTAACTCCCAGAAAACTCTGATACCTCACATTACATCCTGCAAAATCAACAGTGTTAAGATTCACAAGTAAGTGAAATTAAAGGGAAAAAAAGGAAAGTGAGTTAATCTGGATTACAGCATTGGTTTTCTATTTGCAGTACTTCTGAATTTGATTCTCTGTCATTCTTTTCCTTACGAGATGATTATCTTCTTAATTTTTGAGTATGTTCAAAGGTTATAAACTCTCAAGCCTTATGTTAAAACATAAGTAAAATGCTCATTAAAAAAATAAGGCACTAGAAAAAAATTTAAGTTTTTTTAAAAAAAATGTTTCTATAAATCTCCAGGTTGTCAATTCTCTATCAGTTGTATCAAATTTCTATCTTCATCAATTCCTCACTTTATTATATAATTTCTTTCATTTTTGGTGAAACAAAGGACTAATTTAAAAGGTGTCTGTAATATTCTTGATAAAACTGCTATTATTAGATTTATTATTATGTTGCCAATAGCAGATTCATAATTTCTATCTTTAGTCTTAGAAACCATACATCTGCATTGTTTATATTTGGCTTACAATATGAAGTACAGAGGAAGGAAACATAATAAGTCTCAGGAAGATCTACAAATACAACCTGTTAAAGTATACCTTGGATATTAAAAGGCTCATGAAAACTATAAAAAGAAGTGTTTATTATATGGCATAATCAATGAATGCATTCCACATTAATGCATTTCTAATGAAGCTTACCCACTGAAGCACATAAATCTGAGAAAAAAAAATAACCATTTTTAAATGAAATTCATACTAAAATGTCCTGACCCATTTACCTGAGTCTTTTAATATAGTTAAGCTATTTATGATAACCCAAATTTGTCATGCCAAACAGGATTATAATACTGTTACCCTGATGCCCTCAAGTATGCAGACACATGTGACAGTTTCCTGCCCCCTGTCACTTAGGGGTTTTAAGGTTTCCTTCTAATGATATCTCCTCCTTAGTAGACTTCAGTCTTTTAATCTCTTGTAATACATAATTAACCTTAATTTAAAGATACTGATAACACCTTACGGGTAAGAGCTAAAGGTGTCACAAAGTGCTCACAATTTTCCTTTAAGTCAGAGGTTTAAAAAAAAAAACAACAAAACTATCTGCTTATTTTGAGGTGCCTGGGTATATTCTAGATCACTGATGCTGCAAAAAGTTTAAATATTGGAAAAGCATAGCTTTGCTGAAATATGGTAAGGACAATAGTTTCAATGAGGTAGGTATTATCTTTCACATAGTAAAAGTAACAATATTCTGTATTCACCATTGAAGTGATACATCAGGTATCAGTGAAAGTTACATAAGCTGAGACGATTTTCAAGTCAGTTCTCATTATTAACAATGACTGTTCAAGATCTATTTTAATGTGTATCTGCTTTTCTGAACAATCTTGGTGATGCTACTCTGCTACCCCTTCATCCCCCAATTCCTCCTTCTCCCATTCTTGGCGGGCATTTAAGAAATAGCCATTACATTTAATACCTGTTTAAACTTAGCTAAGACTATTGTGATGTAAGTCTCTGCAATGAATTATATAAAGATTGAAGTAATTTTTTTCACTTGTCTGCATAGTGAAACCCAGATATTCCTTTGTATCTTAAGAGGTTCAACACATTAAACAGTTCAAGAGGCAGCTGACAACATGGGCTATGCTAACAAAGGAAGATACCCATAAACAACAGCAAAAAATTATTATTACATTACCACTGAAAAGGGCTTTATGATCACACCCAGTTAATATCTTTTAACTAAAGGCACAAATAATTTAATTGATTTGTTTAAGGTCATACCACTAGTTAGTGGACAAGCCAGAAGCAGCACCAAAACGTCCTGGTTCCAATGGTTCTACTATATACTACTTATTTTTAACATTTCATTTTTCATTTTTAGCTGTGACAAAATATATATAACATAAAATTTACCATCTTAACATTACTAACATTTATGTTTGCATATTTGAACAAAGGCAATGTAACAGTCACCAACCAGAGCAACAAAGGAGAACATATTATCACCGTGTAGAAATTAAATCCTAATCCTCCCTTTTATTTTTTTAAAAAGATTTATTTATTTATTTATTTATTTGACGGGGAAGAGGGAAAGAGCACATAAGCAGGGGGAGTTGCAGGGAGAGGGAGAGGAAGAGACGCAGGCTCCCTGCTGAGCAGGGAGCCAAATTTGGGGCTCGATCCCAGGACCCTGGGACTGTGACCTGAGCCGAAGGCAGAGCTTAACGGATTGAGCCACCCAGGTGCCCCCTAATATTCCCTTTTAGATGAGAGACACATGTGGTGTCTTTGTATCAATAGCTCTGCAGAGAAAATTGCATTTTTGTTCCTAGATACAGCATGTGCCATCCACTACTTATATTTCGTATAGGAGAAAGGCTAGCTGTAGTACTTCATTGCACTAGCTTAATAAGAAAGGCCCTATTTAAGTCTCTCCCAAACCAAACACCACTCATCTATGAAAATGTACAGATAATAATACAGGACAGGAAAAAAAGAAGTACTACCAGCAACCACAGGCATTACCAATGAAAATATTAATAAGAATAGCTCTTACTGTTTTATAAACACTTGCTGGTGGCATCATCCCAACTATTAAAGCACAAATGTAGGAGTCTTGAGCTTCTTGATTCTAACCTCCTCTTCTGTTCACCATGGTTCAAGCACAGCGGCACTAAAATCTACCACTACATCAAGATGTAGTGAAGAGATTCACTTTGCAATGTCCTGTCTCTTTAATGTTTCAGATAATGTTACCAAGTATGACTCACTTTTCTTCCACCCACTTCCTTATTTAAACTTTCTCTGCCTGACAGTATTTAAAATTTATTCATTAACTGGAAGAAAATAAATCCCTGGCTTTTTGTCTATTTGGGACCTTTTTCAGGGTTAGTAAAAACTGTACCATAACGTGGATTTCATTTTAGTTAAAACTGTCAACACATCAGTCAATCACTTTTTACTCTGATTTTAGTATTAGTCCTTTTGAATTTCTCCCTATGTTAATGCCACTTAAGCCACGGCACCATAAAAAATCCTAAATAAATTTAGAACTTGATTTGTCATTTACAGATTTTCCTATAATTGCCAAATTTTCAATTCTCAACTCTCCTACACAGATTACTATTTATAATTAAAAAGAGAAACTGAGCAACGGGAACTTTTTTTTTTTTGGTCCTCAGAGACATAAACAACTTTCTCTTCCAGGGAACTGTATAATGATGCTTCTATTGCACCTTTGATCTGAGAAATTCCAGGTACTTTGTAAAAGCTGTATTTATTAATTCTTCCAAAACACCATATTGACAGGAATAAAGAATACAAATGCAGTGGTCTTGTTCCTAGAATTGTAGCAAAGCTTCTCTGTCGCCCAGGTAAATTATGAACATATCTCACCAGCAAATCAGCTCCTTGTAAGCTTAGATTTTTGCACCTGGACATATATGCCATTGAAGCAATTTCACTGAACTGCTGCCCTCTTTAGAAACAATCTGAACTTCTAGTTTGCCACAGCCTCCCCTCTCTCCAGAACATTACTCGTGGATGCTGTATTTGTGGATACTTCCTGCATTTACACACTTAAGTTTGTGATTTTTTCGCATCAGGGACACAATACTGGTCTGTGAGTCAGGGCACCAAGGGTCCAGGCTATTACTGTGATCTGAAAAATCACTTCAGCTTTCTGGAACTGTCTCTACTTCTATAAATGAACTGCTTAATTAAGATGATCTTTAAAGAGGCTTCTAAATCCAAGATTAAGTAGATTGTTTTAAAACTATACTAATTACAAATTTTTTTCAAAAACAGTCAGAAGCCTGGAAAGAGTTACAGTTACAATCTGTTGACTAATTTGTGAATACTTCCGTATTTGTGTCCTTAAATGAAACATTTGCTGGCGCAAGTTACTCTTCCAGGTCTAGACTAGAAACGTGTGAAAAGTGAAAATCATACAATTTCCTCTTGCTTAGCCCATAAATATTAGGGATGTAGCCCTAATATCTAGAGCAACAAAGAACATTTTCTTCCTCTCTAAGTAAAAAAAAACAAGCTTGTGGTTTTCCTATATTAAAGTCTTCAGAATGTTCTGACTCTTGAAATCATAATAGAAAGATCAACAGAAACTACACCAGAAAAAGTGAAATATTTCCTCATAGAGTAGGGGAAACATCCATTTAGCAGCTAAAGTTTAAAAATTGTTTAACTGGCGGTGTGGGTGATCTGACTCATTCATTTCACGGGTGCTATTAAGTAGAGTTTTAAAAAGAGTGGAACAGTTGGTGCTTCTTCCTACTTATGAGCCAGTCTCATGCTTTACCTTCATCTCGTGGTGCTGGTCCAGCTGGTCCAGTTCCAGAGGGCTTTCTCCATCTTCCCGCTCTTGCACCTTGGCTTCTGTGTCCGCCCTTTCTTCTTCTAGGGGGAGCACCTGGCTGACTCTGGCAGTCCTGCAGGTACTGTCAGAAACATTTCTGTCATAGTCCTTTGCTGTGGGGGATGCAGGGCCTGTGGTCGCTTCCTCCTCTCCTTCTCCATTCACTAAGTTCACAGCATGCAAGTGTTCAGAGGTTTGAACTGGAGTTTCTGGGCTACGAGTGGCCACTTTATCCTCCTCACATTCCATCTGGTTTGGTCCTGCTATCACACCATTAGCCACACCAGTCTGTACACCCTGAGTTGGATCTGCGTCATTTTCCGGCTTCGGAGGTGGGTGTGAGGAGAGGAGCTTTTGCTGAGGGGTGGTTGTCAGTCCATGCCTTCCTGGGGTTCTAGGAACATTCAGGTTCACACCAGAGTCTTTCTTCAAATCACTGTAATTTGATAATGTGCTAAAAGATAAAATACAAAAGAAGTATGTAAACACTGGCATGGAAAAGTTCTAGAAGACAGACCAGCTTATTCCAATTGAAAGGAGATATTTCATGAAGACTTTTTCCTCTGATGGTTTTAGAAACATGGATTGGAATAGTTGGGCATAGTTCTCAGTCTCTTGGGATGCTACACACACTTAAGTAAACATTTAAGTAAAGATGGTAAGACTGAGCATTTGCTATAGGGTCTGGAACATTTCCTTGTGCTGTGCGTCAATATGGCTCGTCAGTAAGGACTGAGATGTGAGAAGTATTTAGAGTGAAAGCCATCTTTTCCCAAGATTTTTACTTTCATACATTTTAAAAACAAGTATCGTCAGATCCCAATTTATGAACAGGTTAGAAATCAAAGGTTATTTCTGTTTAGAGAGCAGAACACATTCTCAGAAACGTTGATACCCCTGCTGCCATAACCTAACCGACCTCTCTGCTTCCAGCCTCCATCCTCTCAAATCCAGTCTCTCAAGGTCGACCACAGAGGCCCAACTCTTGGAGGGCACCCGGTACACTTAGAAGGTAAATCTGGCATCCTGCCCCCGACCTAGGAGTCTGTACACACGAGCTCCTACTTGCCCTGGCCTCGTTCAGTTCCATTTGTCCTCACTCACTGTCTCTTGGCACTCCTGTCTCCCTGCTGTTCCCATGCGTGCATCTAAGGGTCTCTGCAGCTGCTGTTCTCTCTGCCCAGGACGACCTTCCCCAAGACATCGGTGTGGCTCCTTCCCATCATTCAGGATTCTGCTCAGATGTCACCTCAAAGAGGCTTTCTTGGATTATTCTATGTATTACAAGTGCACTCTACCATGAACTACACATCTTGTTTTAGTTTTCCTTAAAGCCCTTATTACTTGATATTATATATAACCCTACTAGTACAATAGAACCTAACTGCCAATATATTACAATGTCCCTATATAAATATTTGCATAACATTTTAATCTAGGATTCCGGGGAGGAAAAACAGAAATCTCTGGGCTGCAGTGTTGGAGAGATTCCTATGACCTAATAAGGAGACAAAATGAATACAGACTAATACTCTGGGAGGGTGCAGACCGCGCCTATCTTGTTCTCTGCTTTCTTCCCACTTCGTAGCACAGTGCTGGGCATATGGAAAGTACTCAGGGATCAATAAAGAGTAACTGTAACTGTAATGGTGATCATGAGAGTCACTCAATAACAGCAGCTAGCATTTATTAAGTGCCGGAAAATACATGGTATTCTTTACATTATTTGTTTCAACCTCATAATAATTCTAAAACAGGACCCCAAAATAGAGAAATTGAAGCTTAGAAACTTGCATAGTGAGGTGATGTCACATGGCTAAGAAATGATACTGCTAGAGTCTGACCCTGAAGTCTGATTCGAACTCCATGGTCTTAAGCCCACACTGTGACACACTAGAACATGGAGGGAAGGAGCAGCAGGTGAGTAGCCTGCATACAGAACATGGGAAGAAAGTCCAGGTCTAGCCTCTTCCCTGGTGCCGACAGAGGTTATGGGCTAGAGGACACAACAGTACAGTCCATGGACAGTGCTCAGATGTGGGTTACCTTCTCTATTCATTCTACTCCTCCCAGACACTGCTGATCTGGAATGGAGAATAACCATAGACGGCAAGAAAGTTAATAAAAGACATGGTAAGCTCAGCACCACAGGAAGGGAAGGAAAAATTGGGCAGGGAAAATGCGATATATATAAAAGTTGGTGGTTGTCAATGTAAGTAAGTGTTACATACTCCACCATTAATATGTGCCTTCTAGGGGAGCATACTCTTGGCCTAGACGATTTCTCAAGCAGTCCTTGGAGATTTAAATGGCACGGTCTTCCTTTTCTTCCCCACATCAATGTTCAGAAACCCAGGAGAAAGATCCTCAGCAGATCCTCTGAACCAACTTCAGACTTGCTTAGGATTTTGGAAAGGACTGTTTTGGATGAAAGGTAAGTATTTCCTGTAATAAGTGATCTCCAGGGGACATGCACATGGAGGTGGGATAGAGATAAGGTGGTGAGAGGTCAGTAAAAGCAGTGGTTGAACCAATACATATATTCCTGCTGTTTTGTGGATGCCAAGACCATGGGGAAAGACAGTTTGCCTTGAAGTGTCCTTAGGAAAAACCAGTGTTCAGTTTTGTGCAAGATGTTATTTCTTTCTAAAATCCTGAAATCTTTCATGGGTTATAAAGACTAGTTTCTGAAAGGAAGGAAGGAAGGAAGGAAGGAAGGAAGGAAGGAAGGAAGGAAGGAAGAAGGAACCGTAGTAATACTTACATACATAAATAATAAAATTCAGGTGCTCCAAATACATCCTCCAAATCACTCACCTTAATATAATAGCGTTACTTGCATTACTGCAAGGAGCAAAATTCTCATACATAGTCTTAATAGTGCAGTCTAATAGTTAGTAACCTATGACCCCACTCTCTTCCTGTCAGTTTACAGTGGTAACTTGGCCTGCTGAATCTCTATTCCTCAAAATGCTACTTTAAGCTGTAACAACTGGGGTAAAACCTGAAAGCTATGCATACTGTAGGCACATGGACATCACTTGACAAGAAATACAACTTCCCATTCAAGTCCTATAGACTCAACGCAACGCTAACCCATTCACACACTTTTAGGGCCAGTTCCTACTGGTAATACCTCACTAAGAACATATATTCATTTCTCGTACTGGCAGTAGACTCTGCTACAAGTAACACCCCTTCACCAGATTTGCCAAAATGCTCACATTACATTCTATCTGCACTTAGAATAAGTTTGCTTAAAATATCTAGGTTACAACATATCTCTCCTTAGATACAACCTTCAAACTTTGTGTCAAAAAATGACTCTGAACCTGTGAAATCTGAAGGAGTAAAAGAAAACTGGTACTAATATGTGGAAAAACTATGTACATTTTGTGTATGGACAGGAATGCAAATGGTGGGTTACCAAAATGGTGAGAATCAGAAGGCTCAACCTTTTCAATACTGACCCATTAAGGGCTTCCCACAGCTCCCCCCAAATCTGGTATGCACTACAGACAGGGATCAGGGCTATAGCCCTTCCTGATATTATGCAGTCATTGGACATGGCCCTGAGAATCTGCAAATATGAAGGGTCACTCTCTGTGCTACTGAATCAACTTGCCCTGACAAAAAAATTTAAAGTGGAATTAAATAATTCTGGAAAAGATTACTATAATTTAAGACAGCAAAGGTATTAAAATTCCCACTTCAGAGGAAGAGATGTTGAAGTTTAAATATTTATGACTCAAGTTCCCACAATTGATTGGGAATGAAAATGAAGACAGGCTTCTGAACTACTTTTCTTCTCAAGAACTTGTTTCTAAATATAGTCTCATTTTAAATGAAGGATATTGCAGTTTTGTACTTGGTCACAATTTTCAGAAGATTTCTGTAAGTATTTCCAAGCTATGATCCACTATGTAAATAACAATAAATCCTGCAAATAAATAATGCAATCACCTAGCAGGAAACCATTCCCAACGATTACACTGGAATGAATGGAAATATTTGCCTTCAAGTATGAAAGAGAGGTTATACACATTGTTTAATCAAATATAAACTTTTGGTGACAGAGAAAATTAAAATCCTTCTGATAAATTTTTTTTTTAATTCTATTTATGTCAGTGATGGGAATTCTAAGAAAAAGCAATTGAGGTCATAAAGGAGAAAAGCAACTTATGGGTGTTTATTTTTATCTTCAAGTGAGAAATTCATATTTTGCCTACGTTTTTTGAAACATTAGGACTAAAGAATATAAAATTATATCTAATAAATACAAAACTGAAACTTAGCATTTATTTTGCTACTGGCAATGTCTCCTCACAAAACCTAGTACGATACAAGGGAGTGGGGCGGGGGAAGGGGAAGGGGGCTGAATGGACACTGAAGACTCAGGTTAAATAAAAAGTAGGTCAGAAAGAAGGCCACAGAGATGGCATAGGCCAGCAGAAATTCCAGCCACAAACATGCCAAGTGAGAAACAAGGAGAGACAACCTCTTGCTTTCCCAACCCAGACAGCTAGCTACCCACAGCATGACCCCGAGGCATAAAACAATGTGACATATGCAGATACGAAGGAAAGAAGAGCGCATATCAGCTGATCTATACGACACACAATGTGATGAAAAAGCTGGTGGCAGAGACTGTGCTGCACATCAGGAATATAGAGTAAATGACAATTCGTATTAGGGCAAGTTTAAGTATTTTTCTAAAAGCCTACCAAAACCTAGTAGAATACTTATGATTTAGAAAATCTATTACTCCATCTTTTTTTTTTTTAATTTTATTATATTATGTTAGTCACCATACAATACATCATTAGTTTTTGATGTGGTGATCCACGATCCATTGTTTTCGTATAACACCCAGTGCTCCATGCAGTATGTATTACTCCATCATCGTAAACACACACACACACACACACACAACCCAGCTTTCTTCACCCCTCCTCTTTCTCCCATTGTGAATTAGCTCTTACCTGCCTCCTTCAAAGCGGCTGATGAGATCTGATACCTTACTGGGTTTTTCTTTTGAGACACAAGAAGCAGAGGCAGGTTTAACTTCCTCCATCCTTGGTTTCTCACTAGATAAAGCTTTATGCCTGGGGGTTTGGTGTATACGGGACAAAGGTGAATTCTGCAGATGTAATGGCTTTGGAGGCACTGTAGAAAAAGAATTAAAAGAATTCAGTATTTCACTGATATGTATTCCATTACAAATGAAACTGGTGGCCTGGGTGCAAAAATCTTCAGCATTATCAAACTTTTGTAAAGGAGTCTGTCTAATTTGTACTGAATCTTAACCAAGGGATCTCTATCTAGGACATTTGTTGTGTCCTGTGGAAATCCCACCTCCAAGATTCAAGTGGTTCTCTTTTAATTTTAGGTCATTTTAAATATGGCTTTATTAAGCATCTAGGGATCTGCGTATTGCTGTGACCTTCCAACGTCTACTAGAGATAACATAGCAGTTACTTATCTAAATGGAGAAAAGAAAGTACTAAATTTGAAACTAATTCCTAGGGATACACTGCTTGTTACAAAACAGATTTTCTAATTATAGAGTAATAGCTAATATAACAGAATCCAGAGCTAGTAAATTAGACATAAAAAGCCAACAAAACAATATCAAACAACAGTAATTACTATAGCATCTTCCCATTTAACAAAAGCACCTGATCTTATTTGATCTTAGATGAAATTTTTCACTTTACAGTCCTTTGAGGTAGGTAGCATTATTCATCTCTTAGGTCTATGAAGGTTCAGAGTGGTTAAGTGATTGCCCTGGAAGAATAAGGCTGATCTGATTTTATGACTGGTACCCAGACTCTAATTCCTTCCTCTGTCAGCATTGCTCCTTATCATAAAACCAGCAAAAGGGGGTTATAGGAGTTCTGTTATTATTGTCTGCTATGTTTATAGTTGGCTTGTATTAATACACCACAAATTACTTGCTTAGCATTAAGTCCTTCCCTCAGTTAACAGATCATTTCCTGAAATATTAAAATCTACGGAATTTCTCTAACAGATGAGAAATTCTGTAGATGAGAAAATAAGTGCTTGCTTTATCAGTACAGGAATTACTTCAATTTTGAAAACCAATATAATTTTCCTCTTAGATTAACATTCTGGGTCAAGGATTATATAACATGTATGCGTTTTTCTATAACTGGTTCTAACAAATCAAATAAAATCATTGTTTTTCTTTTTTTAAATCCTTGTCCTGACTTCCCAAGGAAGGGAAGGGAATCATGTCTCCTAATTACATGCCCCATTTTCCCCCAGCTGGTTACCCTGGTCTTCAGTCATCTCATTTCTTCTATAAACTTGGCTGACAGTTGCTTGATGCTCACTGGCTTAGATGTCATTATTTCTATGTGAGTTACCAATTCTTACAAAGAAGGAAAAAAAAAAGCATATCACAATAAACTACAGGTATAACAATTAATTCACCTCATTCCCTTTCAACACAAGAAGAAAATCCCAATTAAAAAATGGCATGCTTCTTTTTATGGAAATGGTGTTATTTTCCAAGAAATGCTCAGGGGGGATGGTTAAATATAGTATCCATTGAGAAAGATGGGACTTATAAAAGTGTGATATTTGTTAATTTTAAGGAAAAATTTCCTGTGTAGAATATATACCAAAATAGCAAATTATGACAATATCCCACAGAAAAAAAAAAAAGTTTTAATATTAAGAATAATTTCAACATTCCTAATTAGAATATTCAAAAAAGGAAGTGAATGTGTTCTTTATAATTCTATAAAAATTGTTATAAAATTGTTATTTATTCATCTAGAGTTTACTCAGTGAACATTATTTATTACATATCAGACACTGTTAGATGCTTAGAAGACTCAAATGATGATACGTATCAGCCAGTTTCTCAGAGATAACTCCACTGACTTTTCCCATTTCAATTATGCTTACCTCAAACTGTTTCATAGCATTGTGTACTTTTTCTCCAAAGTGCTTATAATAAACCAGTATGATTAAGTAGTCATAAATAGTATTAAATAAACCAGAAATAAAATATTAAGTATACTATAATGTAAAGCTTTCTCTTCCACAAGCCTGGGGTTCTGTGAGGGTAAGAAACAAGTTTATTTTGATCACAAATATATTCACAGTAACCACGTACACAGTGCTTGACAAATTTGTGGAATACATGAAGGAACAAATTAACGTCATCAAGGAATTCATAGTCTAGTGAGGAGACAGTTTAATGAGGTTGATAAAAGTGGGCATTGGGTACTGTTACTTGAGAAGCACAGAGGAGGCATCTCATCAAGGGAGATAACCCAAATGGAAAATAAAGTAAATATGCACATTTTAAATAAAAGAGCACAAATGTTACATGTATATGACAAAAATCTCAAGATGATACATGAATGGCTAAAGCGTCAGAAACACTGCCTTAGGGGGAAATAATGTGTACTTTGGTCAAAAAACAGAACTGATGAGTAAAAAGGACTCTCACCTTCCCCTCCCCTGCCCCCTCTCTCATCATTTCTATCTTCTACCCTATGGAGGTCAACATTTCCAAATGCTCTCTGGACATCCCCTAGGTGTTCTATCAGCACCTCCGTTTAGTATGTCTGAAACTCAACATAGTATTTCTCCCCCCTGTAGCCCAATGGATGTAAATAGAAAAAACAGTGTTCAACCTCACTAATAATCAGGGAAATGAAAATTAAATCTAAAATAGGATTCTACTTCAGCCCCATCAGGTTAACCAAAAATTTTAAATCTGACGATACCAAGTGTCAGTGAGGATATCAAGCAATATGATATCTCATACATTTTGAGAGGGAATATAAATTAACAGAACCATTAGGAACTTGACATTTCCAAAATACATATCTTAAAGAAATTCTTACATATCAATACAGGGTTTCTTTAAATTTTTACTTTTTCATTAATTCAGTATTTACTGAATACCTCTTAAGTTGTATGTACTTGATCTTATCAATAAACAAAAGGAAAGATAAGAAACAAAAAACCTAATAAGTAAACCATATATGAGAAGGTGGTGAGAGCTAAGAAAAAAGGGGGAGGGCTAATACAAGAACAAGATAAAAGGGATTTGGAGTATAGGGAATGGGGGGGGGGAGGGCAGATTGCAGTATTATATTAAGTACAGTATTCAAAGTGGGCCCCTGAAAAGTTCAGATTTGAAGAAGACTTGAAGTTGAGGGAGTTATTTTGGGAAGAGTATTCCATCCAGTAGAGACCAAGCTAGAGACAATGGAAGCCAATGTGCCTGAAGCCAAAGCAGCAAATTGGCAAGAGAAGGTACTGAGGTCAGAGGGAGGGCCTGATAACCTGATAACGCAGAACCTGGTGGTGCCCTGTAAGAAGAGTGACTTTGAGTGAAATGAGAAGTCACTGGAGTTCTGTGCAAAGGAGTAACATGACAGGACTTCTAGCCAACTATGTCACTCTGGCCGCTTTGTTGAGGATGTCGGGAAACAGGGTGGGAACAGGGTAGAAGCAGGGAGAAGAGTCAGGAGACTACTGCAGAAATTCAGGCGAAATAACGGTACTTAGAAGGAGGTAGTGAGAAACAGGTGGACTCCAGTATGTTTTCTGAGTAGACTTCCTGATAGAATAAATGTGAGGTATGAGAGAAAGAGAGAGGAGTCAAGGATGACTCTGGAGACCTTTGGCCTGAACCACTGGAAGGATGGAACTGTCATCAACTGACCACAAGAGGTAAAGTAATTTTTGGAGAGATCAGTAGTCCAGTTATGGACATGCTAATTTTAAGATATCTAGTTGACTCTAAGTAAATGGGCTCTATTGCAGTCAATTTTACAGACCGTAAATAGAACAAAACAATTTATTTAAAAATTTCCAACCATCCGAAATAATTACCAAGCATGAAAAGAATGAATTGCCAGTTTAAGTTTGGGGACTACTAGTGGATTGTGATTAGTCTCATTTTACTTACTATGAAAAACAACAGCTGCCCATTTCATTTTTATGTAAACTCTAGCCCAACGTGGGGCTCGAACTCACAGCCCTGAGATCAAGAGTCGCATGTTCTACCAACTGAGCCAGCCAGGTGCCCTACACAGCTGGCTATTTTTAATACATTATGAATTGATAACATATTATACTTTAAGAATGGAACATTACACACAGGATTCTTTACTTTAGAAGAAAATGAAATGCGTTTGAGTACCTCACATTTACTTAAATTATTCAAACAATAATGTGGCTTTCGAAGTTCATGAAACTTTTTTTTAAACATTAAGGTTTAATGATTGATGAGTAATAATATATGGGCTCTACAAAATAAACAATTATGGAGAATGCTGTGGATCGAGCTCCTGAGAGAAAAAGAACTATTAACTTTAATTGCTAAAGAAGTTATTTTGAGTTATGTCTAGCATGGCAGGAAATAGTTCAATATTAAAAGTGGTGAACAAGAAGACAGACTTATGTTGGAAGTTGCTCAGTAATTTATTTGTTTGATGGGTAGGATTGGTATGAAGTGAATAAACCATTGTTTTCCAAGGCTTTAGGGTATTTTCTGAGGCTGAGGCAAAACAAGCCCTAACTATTAAAGGAATCTATTTCAAAAAAGCTACAGGCTCTTACTTAGATTCAAATGGAAGCTTATCTAATCTAAAATTTAGCTCTTTCATTGTTTTAAAATTATAATTGTTCAAAAATACTTGTTGGTATTTTTTAATTGATATAATTGACATACATTATATTAATTACAGGTTTATAATATGATTCAATATTTGCATATATTGTGAAATGATCACTAAAGTCTAATTAACATCCATCACCACAAAGTTACAATTTTTTTCATGGGTTGAGAACTTTTAGGATCTCTATTCAGCAATTTTCAAATATACATCACAGTATTATTAACTATAGTCACCAAGCTGTATACTATATCCCCATAACTTACTTATTAATAAACACAAAAATATAAACATGATGTTGTTCCAGAAACATTACTATATAATCACCACTAATAAAGGTATTCAATATTGTCCCTCCCTTTAAATATCACTAAAATAAATTGTAGCTACGATATTATTAGCACTCCACAGGAGAAAAAAAAAGATTTAATTATGAGCTCTTTTGAGGATCCAGGTAAGAGTTTCTCAAACTACTGACATTTCAGGTCAGATAA